TCGATACGCAATCAGTTATATATAAGAATTAATACTTGTCAAGGGTATGCATATTTAATTCAAATGCGTTTCAGGCTTTACGACGAATATGTATGGGTTAAGCCAGTTAACCCCCCTTATTTTCCAGCTATGCATGTGTGCCCTGTGGTACATATTTAGTAAGAAATAATTATTATATCTTCTCCCTTATAGAATCCCATTAACATGTTTTTCCACAACATCCTAGCAGCTAAACTTGGGAAATTTGGATGGTATTCACTTCTGGGGTATGGTATTATTTAAATTGATGAAATATTGAGATAAAACTCACCCTACCGGGTGATCTATCGAGGTTTCTCAACAAATAAATAACCGAACCTATTACTTACCACAAATTATTCGGCCCTTGCGTGTTGTGCCAAAAATCGTATGAAAGCATTCTCGGATAGAAATGAGCCAATGTAATTTTCCAACAACACATTAATTAGTTGGAAGATATTACTTTGACGTCTTATTTATGGCTCATTTCCGCCCTATTACTGTCGTCTTTTATCTCTTGCACTTCAGTATTCCCTAATAGCATACCCATGCAGAAAGCTGGAAGGTGAAAAATATCATTAATTATTTAAAATGATTTACATACTTAAATCAGAATATATACTAACAACAATTCTCCCCGATGTATGTACTAATTGCAAGTATTGCAATTAGTTTCTCACCGCTAAAGCCTAAATAGTCCATTTCCTCTAGGGACCATGGCTAAATAAGGGGCCGTCCATAAATTACGTAACGCAAGAGGGGGGAGGGGGTCATGGGGAGAGCGTTACGAATCGTTATGTAGGGGGTGGGGGTATAACAAATTCGTTACGTAACACATTTCATAAACTCGGCTAAAACTCGCCAAGTGTTACATGGATTGAATTCATGTCATCCAAAAGGTTTCAGTGTACGCATGTCAATATACATTTTCCATTATGGTACGCAGTACGCACATTAAAAGAAGAGTACAATTCTTGCCTGCTTGTAAACCATCATCCCTCCACAGTGACCTCGGAGGGCGATGGTGTGATATAAGTTTCATGATTAATTAAGCCTTGCATGTAAGGTGAGAAATTGATCGGAATTTTCCGATCACCTGAGCCCGAACGAGATCATTGACGATGAGGAGGCATGATGGTTGTCAATCTTCTTTTAATGTTCACATTAGTTCTCCTTTGAGACAAGGTTCCATTGTAAGTTTAAGGTGAGAGACCTGTAAGATTCACAATTTCCATATGATTGCGGTTGTTCTAGGACAACAAGAAATTAACAAAATTCTAATTTCTCTAGCAATTTAAAATAAATAGAAGCAATAAAAGCGACACTTGTTTACACAACCTGGAACAATTGAGAATTTTGCACGTTACTGTTAAAGAAATTACCTGCGGTGAAATCAAACTGACGTTACGTTACGAAGGGGGAGGTGGGGTAGTCGAGAAGCGTTACGATGCCGTTACGAGGGGGGAGGGGGGGAGTTTAAAAATGACGACTTTTGCGTTACGTAATTTATGGACGGCCCCTAAATACGTGCGAAAATACAATTAAATATTTAATTGGATTCGCTCTTCCATACGCAAATATATATGTAGAGTGCTCAGTATAAATACAACATCTGTCTACTCCACTTTTTTGTTTAAGCCACTGCGAATCCAGCCATAATTTACTTCTCGGATTTGAAACCCGTGGAAAAAAAGCACCCTTGAGATATTCACATCTTTCAAGACGGACAACCGATAAATGTCTGAATCACTTTTGAAATACGATAACTTGAATCAACAAGGAAAAAAGTAATTTACTATATTTCCCTCCTCCCCCCACTGAGTAACCGTAAATAAGATATATAGTTAAAGATATGCTTAATTACTCATCCTCAGTTAACAACTCAAAATGGGAAACATTCCACATTTTCTTCCAATTCTACTGTTCTATTTAGTCCAAATCCAATCTCGAATTCTTCCCGTCTTTCACACTCTACTCAACAAAATGGAAACTTGCGACATTCGCATCCTGCATGACCACCCAAACCAAACTGTTGACTGGATTAATATCAATGTACCCCTGAAAATCGTCTACACACCGGAGAAAAAGGAACCCTTACCACTCGACGTGTTCAAATCACGCGGACTAAACTCCTGTAAATAGGTCGTGCTCCTTTCCAATTATGGATTAAGTGAAGCAGTTATTGACACGAAATTTTGTTTCGAAAACTGGATTGGAATGTCGAGTATTCGCAATTTATTTTATCTTAAAGATCTGGAGAAGATATATGCTCAAGCTGAGAATATCGTTACCACATTTGTGACCACGAAATCTAGGAGACACCACCTTGGCCGGATTTACTTTCGGCCAAAACCATACTTCAAAACTTCTGTTGTCTTTCTTTCATATGATAATTCTTATGAAATATACCTGTGGTTTGCAACCTCGTGGGAAATATCAATCTCAAAGAACTATTCCATAGTTAGCGAAAACTTTATGTATCGAGCCGGAAAGCTGGGTACCGTAACTACCGTGAGAACCTGCGTTTTTACCACTGTTAAAAATCTTCCCACATTCCCACCACCCTGGTGCCATATGGATTTATCAAATAAGGAGGTATCCGGTTCCAAAATTACGAAAAAAACAAAAATCTCCGTCAATCAGTCTTACGAGCAAAAAATTATTGACGACATTTTCTTAGCGGCCAACGAAACGCTAGGGAACATCCACGGATGCTCAACCCTTTTTCCATTGGTAGTCGCGAAATCAATTCTGCCATCAACTGACCCAGAAATAACTTTCGTCACCACGGGAGATGTTGGATATCAATATTTATCCTGCTACCGCGAAGAATATGTGACCTTCTGGTTGTACGTGGCGCCGTTTAAGCCCTGGTTATGGGGCACGTTGATTATATCGCTGGTAGTAATAACATTAATTACGACGGGCTACACATACTGGAAACAATTTGAATTTGCACCATGGTTGTTCCTTCTTGCCACGGTTTTTGAGGAGACAGGTCACCTACCAGAAAAAGTGGGAACAAACTGGTTTTTTCGGCTTACCCTTGGCTCCTGGTGTCTCATGTCGGTCATTCTTACAAATTGCTATAACGGAATTATGATATCTGAACTTAACTCACCCCTCCAAGCCGTACGACCTTCTTCGTTCGCCCATCTTTTATGTGGTGACAGAATAAGTGTGACTGATGTACCTCAGCTAATCCGAAGCCATTCAGAAAACAGAAAGCAAAATTTGAGTGAAGAACTAAAAAACCACGGTTATAATCGGGTTGTCTTTCACCTAGCGAAGTTGCAAAATGTAGAGTCCGGTTTTTATAAAATATGGCAGGAATTTCATTACCAGTCCTTAAGATTTTTAACCCTTTCGCCATCACAGAATGCTTTGCCTTGATATCACTACCCGCCGGTTCCATTTCAGAATTCTTAATATACCCCGAATTTCTGGCATACTTAAATCTCGCCGCAAAAAAGGACTTAGATTTTAACCTACTGTCCACCGGTGTTGGGGAAAAAAACCTGGAAATATTTAATTTGCTCGATCCCAAGCACGCTCATTATCCGAGAGGCTTTCAGTATTTCGACCGTAACCAGACCTTAGTCGACTTGCGAAACGCGGTAGAAAGTCAGTTGGTGGAATGCGGGAAGTCTGTTTTTATTTCAAGACCGGATAACATCCACACAGAATTCCAATTCATGACGAGACATTATCCTTCTAAAAAATTCTACAAGGGCAAGGAAGTCCTGGGGGTGAGCCCGATAGGTTGGTATTTTTATCGAGTGGGCGTTTCTAAAGTTCCCAGATATTTTAAAAGGGTAGTCGAAACTGGAATATTTCACAGGTTACGAGACGAGGATAATTTCCAGAAACTATTATCTCGATCACCTGTTAGCAAAAACACAATGGAACAATCCGTTCAACTTGTCGAATTATGTGGGGCAATTTTAACCGTGTTCATTATTTGTGGGATTTGCATATCTGGAGCCATTTTAATCTTCGTTGCTGAAATACGTTACAAAATGTGCACCTCAACTAAAATAATTTTAAAATCGTGGCACAGTAAGCTATCAAAGATTGAGAGTTTTCTCCTTAGAATAAATTAATTGATCTGTTTGGGGGAAATACTTTTGCATAATAATATGTGTAAGTAATAATACATAGTATACAAAAAATTCGAATATATTGTATGTTCAATCCTCTAGAAACCAGTAAATTAAATTGGTTACTCAACTTAAAGCTGCCATTATGGAAACAAACTTTTTTCGTTTGGTAATAAATTTGTACAAACACTCAAGAAAGCATATTTAGTAATAAATAATTTATACCTTGTTGAATGACTATGACGTTTTACAACGTCGTTGAGAATAATTAATTTTAATAATAATTTCAGCGAAACCCTTAATTTATTACATTTACTCTTTAAAAAATGAATTTCATAATTACAAAAAAATATTTTCGCTCAAATTATAATTACCAATTCTGTGACAAGTTATGTATAAACGGCGTGGTATAGCATGATAATCATTCCACACGGTACGGATTCTTATTGCGTTTTTTTAACATATTCAGCAAGCAATTCACAACCTTCATTATAAAACTTCTGAAAAACATTATAAAATCTTTATTATAAAACTGTGTCCACAAACCATAAAATACCAGACGGAATTAATTAGAGAATACGTGCTTAGAAACCTGGCTGCATGTTTGCGTGTCCACGCAACACGGAAACGTTGTCATTTTTCACCATTTATCATGCATGTGGCACATGCCATGTGCTTATGCAAAACTGGTGCTTATGCATTCTCATCGATTGACGGAGAAAAAACAAAGCCCGTGTTCAGAGTTAATGATACTGAAAAATTTACAATAATGAACATGGCTACTTGTATAGAAATAGGAATTCCTTACATGCATATTTAACCCCCTCATCCTCACAAAAACTCAAACTCACGTCAACCAGGACACGCATTCCAATCCAATCTTACACCAAAATTCCATCACCGTTATAAATAAGTTGAACAACTGAAAAGCCTCGTTTCTTTGGAAACCTTGGTATGATTCCTTAAGTTGGATTTGTTGTTTGTTTCTTACTTTTGTCTACCATCGTTTTTACCACTTTTTGCTCTGCCAATTTTGCGGTGAAACCGCATCATTCAACGTAATAATACTAAAATCAATTGTTTAACTCATTGTTTCAGACTCACCCATTATAAGTTATCGCCATAATGGCACAAATCACAAAACATTTATTAACGAAGGAGGTGCAACAAAACCTGATACAAATTAAGGATGTTCAAAAACTTTCACTTATAAAGAATATGGATTTGGTCAAAAAAAGCTATACCAACGCCACTGGGAAGGGTGAGTTCTGAATACCCTAATTTTTACACTCCAAGGAACCCGGTAACTAAGTTATTACCAGGCGGAGTATCTATGTGACTCTGCCGCATGGTAATTAATTTATTATTGAGTGGTAGACATTATGTTACCAAACCGGTGGTAACTCCGGACGCGACATATGAAAATATTACCAGGTGGTAACTCATTTTCTACCACTCAATGGTACCATGCGGTAGAGTTACATAGATACCCCGCCTGGTAATAACTTAGTTACCGGTTTTCTTACAAGGGACACTCACGACCTGTCGTTTGAGTCCAGGGTACCCACTATGTTTTTTAGAATCTACTAGGACCCCAGATGAAGGATTCATTCATATTTCCGTGTAAAACTCATATTTGGCGCCATGGCGTGGCGCCAAATTCGCCAAATTTGATGGTTTTTCATTTTAAAACCGCCGTAACTTTTGAAATCCTGGACGGATTTTCAAAATTTTCGGCAAAAATTATGACAAGGAGTTCAACTTTCGTATTCTATGAAATTTTTTCCAAAATTATCGCTTTTAACTTTTCGAAAAATTTCGAAATTTCGGGTTCGTCGAAAAAATGCTAAAAATATCTCAAAAATTAAAACTTTTTTATTTTTATTTTTTTCTCTAAAATTTCGACTTTTCTGATCATTTTAAGCATAAAATTTTAAAAATCCGACATAAACTGCAAAAGTTATGGGGGTTTGAAATTGGTCGAACATGCAAATTTTTAAGTTGGGCGCCACGCCATGGCGCCAAATATGAGTTTTACACGGAAATATGAATGGATCCTTCATCTGGGGTCCTAGTAGATTCTGAAAAACATAGTGGGTACCCTGGACTCAAACGACAGGTCGTGAGTGTCCCTTGTTAGAATTATTCGGTAAAACCTAATCTAATTTGTCCACAGAGCTAACGAAGGAAGAATTTCTTCACTCTGCTCGAATCATGTCGCCCTTTGTAACCGAGTTAGACGTGGACATAATATTCTCCGTGTGTGATTCACCCAACCAGAATTCGCGAGCTAAACAATATGACCATGAAATACGACCAGAAGACTATTTCAAACACGTCAAGAAAATATTTACCGACCTAAATGCTCTCTAACCAGCTGATGATAGTGGAGTGAATCTAATCAAGTTTAGTATCAACTTTGTAGTTACATAAGTAAAGTTACATTTTCCAAATCGTTATTATTTACTAACTTTCGCAAAATTTTGATTTTGTAAGAAACAAAACTATTCGAAAATTGGTATCAATTAAGTATATTAGAGAAATTTTAACCATGAGCCCTTAAATCGAAGCGCTTTAAATTTCGAAAAGGATTTTCATGAGTGAGCACAGACTTGCGCTTTAGAACAAGTGGGATTACAGAGAGCACCCTAATTGTATAAAAAAATTGTATGGAGGTATGTAAGATCAATTGTGGGAAATTTCTACATTAGCATGCCTACCCTCCATCCGTGTGCAGTTGAAATTTTACAGAAATTAATAATTCTGAGAAACTACGCCACTGTTAGTCTCAAAGTCTCCCGTCAGTATAAATTGGAGCAAACTTGAGACTGATAGTACCGAATTTCTGTTAAAGTTTAACCGTGTGCGAATGGAGAGTAGTTACGATAATTGGTTAACTTAAAAGTTAACACTTCCGTACTTATCTTTAGTTCATCTTATTTAATTGTCTTACGCCTCTTTGTACCGTTTAATAGGATTGGTTAAGAAATGTGTTCCCAAATTTAGCCACTGAGTTTATTTGCACGCGATATTACCAAACATTTATAGTTTACGTACAAAAAGAAGTGGAAATGTGGTTCACAAAATCGTAAAGAATGTTAACACCAACATCACGTTTAATTACTCCATTAAGATTAGAATGTCGGAAAATGATGAATGGAAAATAAAGTGGTCTTGCGTGATTTAATTAATCCTTCCATCACGTTTTCCACACACATGCGGACATGGTGTCATTTATATAATTATTTTCCTTCACCAGCATGCTCAATTCAAAACTGGGTTAACAATCTATTTTTGCAAGTTTTTAAAAGTGTAAAATAATGTTTCATAAGAATTAAAACTTTAAGATAAAAAATCTAACTGGAAAATTATTAATGTAAAATTGCTTAAAGTTGTATCCAGAAGTATTGCAATACAGTGACGTGTGTCATATCCAACATTTCATACCAAACTTATCCCATTTTAAGTAAAAATTCTTATTCGGTAGCATAAATAAATACATAGATACATACAGAACCAAATGCATTAAAGAAAAGTATTAGTCTAGGTTTTAAGTTGGACATAAGTATATACATATACGTCCATTGGTATATATGAATGCAAGGATAAGCAGAGTTCAAAGAAACATATAATTATTTATGTAAGACATACATATCCCGCAAATAATCCAATTTACTGACAATCCGATAGTGTGAGGTGGTTATCGCCGATATCCACCGGACTAATTTTAAATTGTTCACGTTCAAAAATAAGTGGACCCGTATTTTTTCGTTTTTCATGTGGCGGAATTAAAAAAAAATCAGCCACAATTCGGATTTTTAAAAACGCTGTAACTTTTCGAATTTTAACCCGATTTCAAAAAATAAACCCAATTTGTGTTCAGAATTACATCGCTGAAAATATTAAAATTCATTTTAAAAAATTTAAAAAATTTGATATTTGCATGCTATTTCTGAACTTCTAGAAACCCAAAAAACGATAATTTTCTTTAATTAAAAGTTTTTTTTAAAATGAATTTTTATGTTTTCAGGGATGTAATTCTGGACACAAATTGGGTTTATTTTTTGAAATCGGGTTAAAATTCGAAAAGTTACAGCGTTTTTAAAAATCCGAATTTTAGCTGAATTTTTTTTATTAATTCCGCCACGGGCGTGAACATGCCCATTGAGAAAAACGAAAAAATACGGGTTCATTTATTTTTGAGCGTGAACAATTTAAAATTAGTCCGGTGGATATCGGCGATAACCACCTCACACCTGCTCATTGTAAGTTTCTAGACTAGCTACTATCCCCTAATGCATACACATTTACGTTTCGTTGGACGGAATCTAATTATCCTTTTTTACTTATTATAAATTATACCCTGTTTAGGAGAAATAGCAAGTTTGAAATTTACCAATTTGATTACATATCTACATATATTTTCCATACATAAATATTTAAGAATATGTATTACACCATCTTGCAAATATGTCCGACTCGCCTAAATATTATCTTTACATAGAAAGGTTAAACCATTTCTGTCTCACTCCTTGTGTAATTCAAACACAAAACAACATATGTCGACTTTTCAGATTCGCATCTTCTCTCATGCCGTTAACACAGTAACACCCAAGTTACATATTAAAACTTTGTCTACACATATTCAAATCCATAATGTCAACTAGAAACCCCTGGGGTAATTATTTCAACAAAGTCACAACCCTTAACTCATTTAATTATTCCGAAACTGATCTCCTTTCTCCCGGATTATGGAACGTTTTAACCAAGTACGCTTCCGTATATGGGCGTGTCCTTCCTTACCGAGTGTTACTAAAAGAAAGAAAACTATATTTAGTCAAATGTTCGCTCCTGAAGCGGATAATTCTTGCAATTTCCACGACTCTAATATTCGCGTATCCATTCGTCACGTTTCTCTTACTAGTTAAGAAACTGCTGTTTACGTCGGCAGAAGCCTCGGACGATATGCAGGGATGGATAAGGACCTTGGCCATGTTTTATGTTGTTTTTCTTCTTCCCGTCCTCTCCCCAAACAGCGTAATGATTTCTTTCCGAGGTGACTCAATTTGCCAAATTCTTAATCCGATTGTGGAATTCCGTGATGGAATAAGAGGTCTGTATGTATGTAAATATTGGCGAGGTTACTGTTTTACATTTTTAAATAATACGTGGACCATTCTTTTAAACCTTTTTGGTAAAAACTACACTTCAATAAGGCGCATTTTCTGATTTTTACACCCTAAAATTTATTCTCTAACTGTGGTTTCTAAGATGCCTGGAGCTAATTAGAGGACAGTGAAACACCTCGTTTAAACTATATTCTAGAGAAAAGTCAAAACCTCGAGGGGCATATGAAAATGGCATTTTCGAATGCATTTTTTATTAATTTCCAAAATTGTAAGAATTTTATGTTCAGTCCGAATATCAGCAGGGTTCGTAAAAACCTGGGGTTTTACTCTGAAAACAACTACCCCAGGGTTTTACTGGGTTTTGGGGTTTACTGGGTTTTACTGGGTTTTGGGGTTTTACTGGGTTTTACTGGGTTTTACTCAATATTTGAGGTGAAGTAACTTCATTAACTTAATTAATTTTATCAAGATTTATCAAAAAACTTCAATTGAAAATGCCAGGAATACAAGAAAAATACGAATTTGATCAAACTCCAAGTTAAGCTGTATGATTTTTAGATCACAAACAAAAATTCGAAATAAATAGAGAAATTTACGGAATATTAATCAGTGTACTTAATTCGAGTTAGATATGCACCTGCGAATGATTCTACTGATTTATATGTTTGAATTTTAGATAAAACTTAGTAAAACCTATTGATACTCTACCAAAAGCTTCCCTTCCTTTTACACATGTTCCGACGTGATACGAATGACGTCTGACTTTTCTTTTGACATCCAAACAAAATATTGGCATTACTCCATATATCAAAGGGAGAAACTTAACACTTTCACTTTCACATCTTTTTCATTAGGAGATTCACGTCATAAATAAAAATTCAAATAAAAATACAATAAATAAATAAAAAATTTCCCGACTTACCAGAACTTTAAAAATCTTTTGGTTTTCCCGTGTACACATTTACAGATTAATTTATATAAATACAATTCACCAATTGGATCCGTTTACTCCGATAAATTGTCCCATAAGTTAAGGGTATGAAGTATAGATTTATGAATGCATAGAAACGAAATAGTCCTGGTAAGGAAATTCGTCCATGACGATCGCCAAGCTAAAAGCGACCCTCATGGACGGATGAGAGTTCTTTGCCTCGCTCTAGATCCGAAGCTCGACCATGGCGGAGGCGTTTTCCCGCTATGCTTGGGTGAAGGAGATCACGACGTCAGCTCCTCCCCGTCCTCCATAAACGCTGGCGGAGTGGGGCGGATGACTGTTGTGCGGAGAGAGCAAGGGCTCGGTACCTGGGATTATTTAATGGATAAGAAAGAATAGTTTAATAGGCCCCGTTCTGCTCGACCTAGACATTTCGGTGAGTAGAACTGTGCTTCCAGGATCCTCCCGGGTTCTGGAGCAGAACTCCTGGACACATCCTCACGCACAAAGTTAAGAACCCACTACTAATTGGTCAATCAAAAATACCTTCTACGTATTCCTCTTCGTAGGAATTAAAATTTGTCACTTGAAAAATATCTCCTCTCCGTAGGAATGGCATTAGTCAATTAACATGACATACTCCGAAACGAAAACTAGAAATCCTATCCGTTGGAAAGTAATTAAGCCCATCCGTTGGGAAGGAAAAGTAATAAAATCCTATCTTCTGGATTAAGAAATGTCGACGGTTCGGAAGAACGTACCCCCAGTTACAACTGTTAAATGTAAAATGATGTATTTATGAAATTGTTTTATGTATTTTTGTAAATTGTTGAATATGCGTGTAAGATTGCCCCGTGACGTGGTGGTGGTTGCCATGGTGACGTCAGGGTGGGATTTTGGGTGCGCGTCTCTCTTTGTTATAAGTCGTAGTAAGTAAGTAGGTAGAAGAATTCTACACAGTCGAGTTTTAGTCGTTGTCAGAGTCAGACATTTTGGATTTTAGTCGTCGTGGTAGGAAATCAAGAGTAAGAATTGTTAATTCTTTGTTATTGATGTCCACGATTAATTTGTCGTTATAGTAGTCACCAATCAACTCGTGTTAGTGCAGAGCTCTGAATTGTGTTGACAATTAGTAATTTATTGGAAATAAAATCTAGTTTAAGTAGATAAAATAATCGTATATTCACTCAGTCACTTTCTTAATTCCAACGAGCAAAGCACAATTAAATATACGTAAAGACACTATACTCCGGGTAGGTGATAGCTTGGTTTTTACAACAACTGAGCCTACGAAAAATTTCAATCATTATGAAAAGGCATCCGGCAGTTGAAAAATAATTCGTAATTTGAATAACCCATTAAAATTCAATCATCAATTTATTAGGGCATCCGCGCCTTCCGTTAACTAATTCACAACGAAACAATTATAATACGAAAATTCACACGATAATTTACTCCATAAAAGTTGTCACCTTTTGTCACAATCTTTCACGAAACTATCACGAAATTAAAAAATTGTATTTAAATTGATTTACCACCCGAAATTATACATATGTACACACCGGATCCTTAGCAATAATACACGTCAATGTAAAATTCTCTGATTAAACCAAATACGTAATTTATATTTTTTCCGACTAAACAAAACTCGAAATATCACATTTTAAATTTATTATTAATTTTTGAGATGCATACCCCGTAGACACTCATACTTATATCCAAATTCAAAAATGATAATTGTATTTCTCTTATCTTCCACAACACTGCGAAATAATTGAGCTATTAATTATCTCGTCCCGACGCCACGTCCCGAATCAACGTAACTACCACGCCACGACGCCACGACACTTCATCATCCCACACCGACGCCACGCCATTCAAAAGCTACGACACTTTGGACTCAATATTTACCCCGTCTCGTCACCACTTTACACCCCGACACCACACCCCGTCTCGTCCAAATTCATCTCGATGTCACACCTCGACAATTTTTGTCCCATTCTCCACCCGTTCCTTTTATAGGTGAGGAGGAGACGACACCTCCGGTATCATCACGGAATAAACCTCACGTCATTAAATCAAGCGGAATTCGACACTCATGAGAAACTCATCTTTAACAGATTAAGAATATCGAAATTTTAAATATTTAAAAATACAAAATTTGACACACATTGGAATACAAATTAATTGTTTCTTTTCTTTGATTATCAGGCTGGCTGTCCGTAACTCCAAATTTCTGGACACCCAGTCTGCACCTGTCTACAACTCCGTACTTTAAACACACAAATTTATACTAA